CCGATAACGACTGATAAGAGCCCTTACCAACTGGATTTAACTCCTGTGGTATTTACGATGTATTTATGATTACGACCGCTACCCAGGTTTGTAACTGGGTGGAAGATCAAGGTCACTTTATGTTTTGATATCATTTACGTCAAAGCTCATCCGACCGCCAATAGTTTGGGATTCTCAACTAATGATGTACCCGTGGAGGAAAGAAGGTTCAGTGATAACGACATCTGGTAATGGTGGGCATGTGGCGCACGAATTAGCGTGCGTAGCCCAACTGATATTTGCTTAAAGTCTGCAATCTGAACCAACAAAGTATTCTTCTACTCCTTATACATGGGCAGAACCTCTATTCCCTTTACTCAGAACAGCTTCCGAAAGACACTGCATTCCGCAAAGTTAGCGCTTTATCCTCCTCTTTGCTCCAAAATTAAGGTCACCCTTCATCTTCAATTTAATCCCAATCATGCGAGTGCGGATCAAGTGCTACGACCGCGATGCGTGCCCGCTCAGAGGGGGTTGTTGTTTAGGTTGTTCTCGGCACAAACCTCTAGTTGAATGATGCTCACTCTTGAGGAGGATTTCAAATGTATACTGCTCATGCTACGTGCTTTTAATATTATATTTCCGTATTTTTGATTCGTCGCTTGCATATTAAACTGATCGCAAGGCTCCGCTCTACTCAAATTACTCCTCTTCAGTAGAAACTGCTCAGCATTTCTGCTCGCAGAAGTTTCAGATGGAACAGTGGCCTTGAATGGCCACAGTGGCCATTTAATCTGAGATCTATACCGCTATGGGTACTGTCGAAAGTTGTACTGAAATCTGTGTTCCAAATCTGCTGAACTATTATGGGAACAAAGTTACAGGGCTGATTCATCTCTGTGGGACATCACTGTGCCGAACGGGTAATTGAAATGGACAATGTTGCAGGTGCGCAACGGTGGCGCGATGTCAGATGTGGACCTGTAGGCATGACATGAATGTTTGAATTTTGATGCAGAAACTCCTTTTCCTTTTCACGAAATACGACCTGAACGCTTGTAAAACATTTTGAACTCAATACTGACTATCTACAGGACTCACTCACATTTTGCGAGTACTAGAAAGGTAACAAACGAAATTTTATTCGCTCTTCACTCACCGAATAAGGGTTGAGCGCTTTTGGATCAAAGGAGGACTTCTAAACATGTAAACAAAATGGGATTCAGAGGCTATGAGGAAAAAGGTGCTGAATGACTCATTGGATCATAACGCTCTTAAGCATGTAACAGCGAAATATTCTGCCCTAAGGTTTTTGTTCTCTCTTGCATCATATATGTGCACCATACTTATGAGCTTCTCAAATATCACCTTATAATGGTATGTTAGTAAGATTGATATCCACAGCGAGGAGGACAAAGACGAGTGGTGAAAAGCGATCACAATGATCTTCTGCGCTAACCAAATGATAACAGCGACGATGGACCCACGCATTGCGAGAGGAACTTCGCATGTTTGTGGGGATATATGTAGAGGTTATAAAATAAAACGTAGCCCTCAAGTTTGTGATTTGGCCCACGAGCTTCAACTCTATGGCGCTGTTAAAAAAGCCCATAGTGTCCTGTAGCTCGAATTTCAAAATAAGCTGCAGCCGAGAAACAAGTTATGTTTCGTAAAGATTGAGTGTCCTCAATAGAAACTACTAGGAAGTGAGTGGGATCATGAGCTTCCGAATTAGTCTGTTTCCGAAGAACCGTGAAGCCTTATGCAGTTGGAACTATCAGGTGCAAAACGAGTGGATCGATTTGTCAGCCAACGGAGACAAGCGAATAAGTTGAAAGGCTGTTATTATGAAATGAGTAAGCAATATCATTGCACGACAGTTATTTCCACTGAATGAATCCCTCATAGAGGCCAACTCCAGAGCAAGTTGTAATTCGATTCGGGGTTATGAGTAAAGCCCTGGTATCATGACCAACCGCTTCCCCGCGGTTACCTCAAGTAATGTTTTTTGGGGAGTTCTATTGATTATCATATGGGCGCATAAATCGATCAGCTACTGATCCACATTTACTTAGTTAGGCTAATGACAGGCGACAGCGGATATTATAGGTTTTGACGGTGGAGCCTAGCCCTGAGGAAGATAATCACGTCGAAATATTAGGCCGTTAACTTAATCAATTTTTCCATTCCAAGCCCTCGAGCAGCAGAAGGATTCAAACCAAGTTCCACGCTATTTTTTTGTCAGTAAACTTGTATCAGTGCTTCGAAAGTGCCGACAGTAATCCTAGACTGTGAAAACCGTATTCTACCATGAGTGCAGGTAGGTGTCAAAATTTCGAAACAATTTTGAGTACTCAGAGTAGAAAGGAATATGTATACCTACAATGATGCAAGGAAAATTTTATTGGATTATTTTTTCCCAGAGTCCATAAAAGAGGGAGAGCCCGATTGAATGCATCACATTGTAAGGAAATGTAAATGTGGCTCATTTCTTGCTATTAGATTACGACCGCTAGCAAGCGAGATGTGCGACCAATGATGGAGCACGGTTTCGTTTCGTTTCGTTTTACGACAAAACATATCCGACCGCTAATAATCTGGGAATCCCGACTGATGATGTATTCAAAGAAAGGAATTTCCATTGGTAACTACATACATCTGACAATGGTATTATTAATACTAATGGATAAACAAGAAATGACTTTCGTATACCATTATGATTCTTCTGTATATCACTGAGTGTATCTTTTGGCTTGTGGGTGCTTGGGTGCTTAACCAGAATTTCATAACTCCTGTTCCCGCGGACCTAGAGCGACCAAACCTAGAAGGGATA